TCACCAAAAGGTCGGCCCTTTGGCCCCGCCAGGCCCCCAAGGGACAAAGACGCTGCAAAGCATGGCCAACCCAACCATATGCACTGCCCTGCAGCCGCAGGTGTCTCTCGGCACCCCTATGGGCCAGGGAGAACTGCTCCTGCCCGAGTTTCTGAGAGACCCTAGCTCTTAGAAGGCCTGTCTCCACCCCCATCCCACCCCCGCCACCGGAGTGTGGGAGCACACAAGAAGAGGGAAGGGCCCTCGCAGAGGGGTTGGCACGGCCTGCCACAGTGGTGGTGACGGCAGGGGCTGGGCTGTACGTCGGGTCTGTGAGTCGGAACCCACTTGGCAGTTCTGAAGGACGGCACCACCAGCAGGGCAGGAAGCCGGCAGAGACGCAGAAAGCACCCAGGCTCCTGGGCATGAAGACCACCGAGCACCCCGTCTGCCCCCAGGTCCGACACAGAGCGAGGGAGCATTTTCCTAGAGCTAGCTGGCGCCCGGAATCTGGTCCCCTCGTTGGAGCTACGCAGGGTGTCAGGGCAGGGCAGCTTCCGGAGCAAAGCAGGGCTGGGGAGTGGTGGGGGGAGTAGTCCAGTGGAAGTCTCCCCACCCCACACCGTCCCTCCCGCACCTACGACACTTGGGACCCCGCCGGCCAGCAGCATGTCAGTGATGAACGAGGGCACCGTGTGCCTGTGCAGCATCAGCGCCCCACTCGACGACTGGAAGCCCATGGACACGAAGGTGTACTGGGTGACAGCCCTAGAGGACACAGGCTGCTGGGGAGGACGGCGGCCGCCTGCTGCCCTCCGCCCTGCCGGAACAGCCCCTTTCTCGAGGGGGTGCCCCAGGGAGCCCACCCCAGCAGCCCTACCGGGAAGCCACAGCCCCGTCACCCTCAAACCAAGCCAGCAGTGGCCATGACGAGGCTGGCGTATAGTCAGGTCATCAAGACCCGCGGCTGCCCAGTGACCCGACAGGACAGGGCAGAACTGCCCTGTGGGTCTGGAGCAGACAGCCTCCTGTCTCCTGAGGAGCAGCTGGTGGGGGTGAACTGCTGACCTGGTGGTTGGCAGCCCAACATGAATGGCAGAGACCGCTACTGGCCCTTTAAAAAGAAAACACCACTTCCCTGCTGTGGGCTCAATTCTGACTCTCAGCTGAGAACTGTCCCTGGGGGTTTCCGAGACTAGCTCTTCGGATCGCATCGTGGAGCAGAGCGGCTGTGGTTTTCAACTGCTGATCTAAGGGTTAGCAGCTCCTCAGGTAACCACTGAGACCAGGGCTCCTACTGGTCCTTTAATGGAATGTAAATCCAGCCTCACTTTGAGCCTTGTGCCAGGCGCACCTGCCAGTGAGCAGGACAGGCAGCTCGGGGTGGGGTGGGGGCTGTTGAACCTGCGGGAGGGGCAGAACTGGGGACACTGAGCTCACTTCAAGGTGATCCTCTCCTCGGGGTTGACCTGGAGCATCATGGGCAGGAGGACAGCCAGTGCCTTGGCGTCAGGAAGGCCTCTGCCCTCCATGGCCCTCAGCACGTCCTGCAGGCCACTGGGAGTCTTGTGGAGGGACTTCCGCAGGAGCAGGGCTTCCTTGTTCTGAGAGAGGAGACAGGGGCCATCTCCAGGGGGAGGGGACACGCTCTGCACGCTAATCCTGCCCCACACAGAGGCTTAGGCAGTGTATGGTGGGCACTCCTAGGGCGTTCTGGTCGCTACGCTATTTCCAAAGAGGGAAGGGCTTTGCCGTCCATCCACATACCCATCCATCCTTCAACCTATCCATTAACCCATCCATCTATCCACCCATCCATCTAACTGTCTACCCACCCACCCATCTATCCATCCATCTACCCATCCATTAACCATCTATTTGTCCATCCATCCTCCCATCCATTAACTGTCCATCCATCTTCAGAGAGAGGGGAGAGGGAGGGGCTTCACCAAAGCAAAGCAGGGTTTTGACATAACCACTATGGCAGTTACTCTGTGTTAGAGCCCAGAGGAGCGGTGTGGAGTTCCAAGAGCTTCTGGGGCTGGAGGTGAGCACCCCAAGCCCCACCTCCCGGGGGCGGGGCAGGCGGTGATGAGCAGGCAGCAGGAGGAGCTTGCCCCCTGCCTGCCCTAGGTATGAGGCGGGGTGGGGGAAGCTGACCTCCACGAAAGAGCAGCTGGCCATGTCGAGAAGGATGCAGCCCAGGGACCAGATGTCAGACTTCTGGCTGAAGCAGAAATTGAGAGCCTCTGGGGCCATCCAGGACTTCTGGAAGGGGTCTGTGGGCCAGAGCAGGGAGGGGCTCCCCTAAGGCTTACACCTGGGGAGCAGGGCCAACCACCACCCGAGAACTGGAACTTGTTGGTGCCCCTTGTAAGCAGCTTAGCAGGAGGCCGTTAGGAGACCCTCTGGTGGAGGTGGGGACATGCCATCGCTGGAGGGAGAGGGACCTTGGTCTTGCCCTTGAGCCAGTGGCTGTCCCTCTGGGCAGGTGCATGCCTATTTGTACGTCGCGGCTACAGGAGGAGGCATGTTCCACGAAGGCTGCAACTTGGGCCCTCTTTGTTTGGTCTCAGGACTTTGGGGTGCAGTTCCAGGTCCCCTGCCCTGGTCTGAGAACCCTGAGCCCCAAAGAGCCAATGAGCTGGGCCCTTCCTTCAGCTCTCAGTCCTTGATAGGCCTCAGGCAGTCCCTTCCTCTCTCAACCTCCACTCTGACCACACACGGCCAGACAGCAAAGTGACAAAGACTTCAAGGACCCAAATGCATCTCCAGTCAATCTACCATCTACCCATCCATCCATCAACTGTCCATTCACCTATCCATC